CCACAGGAAGTTCAAATATTTTATTACTTGCTTTTTGTACAAAGTATGTCAACACTTGGCACCCGCTGCGCCATTTGTTTAGAGCTAAGGTGTCAACTTGAAAAAATGTCCTTTTTCTCTCCAGAGCTGACCCAGAAAGAGCCTGAGCGCAAGAAGAAAAATAAATAAATAAATAAATACCTCGGAGGGAGCGGGGCACTCGCCGTGCGACAGCTTGCAGGGATGCTCGGGGACCACGACAGTGGCTCGGCCAAAGCCGCTGCCGTTACCAGCCCCACACATGCCCTGGCGCTGCTCCTCACTCAGCCATGGGTCCTTCAACCAGTGCACTTGGGTGTCCTCAGCGCCGTGGTCCAGCTCTCCCTGTCCCCCCCTTCCAGGCGTCATCCCCCGGCCCCACGAGGGGCCCTGGTTGTCACCCGCTTCCCTGCAATTTCTCACCCAACTCAACTCGATTTCAAACTCCTTCAAAAGTTTTTCCGGGCGCAGCTTTAGTTAAAAAGACTTGCTCAAGGGCTGAGATGAAGCGATGGGACAGGGTGGAAGATGAATGGGATGCTCAGAGGTGGGGCGTGGAGCCCAGCCACGTTCCTGACCCAAAAACTCCACAAGAAAGTTTGCTGGAGGAATTTTGCCGCATCTGAGAAGATGATGCCCAGGGCTTTCCCAGGATACCAAGACAAATGGCCAATTCTTTCCACATTAAGGGTGCTTTTCTGCCCGCTCGCACCCGCCCCTCCCCAGCCCCACATCCAGCCCCGGCCAGCGCTGATCCTGCACAACAGGCGCCAACACACCCCGCGTCCCACTCGTTTGCAACACTGCAGCCAAGAAGGGGAAAAAAAACCCACATATTTTTACGCACATGTATGTTTTTACATATATATATGTGAAAAAGTATCTAGAATATATATACACACAAAAAATTGCAGTTCCTGCGGGCAGCTCTCCCCTCCCAAAGCCAAGCAGGGCAGCGTGAGCCATCGTGTTTGGCCAAGGGTGGTTATGACCGGGGCTTCACCGGCTCCCCTGGCCGGGCCGGGGGCCCGGGGGTGCCGAGGGGTGCTATGCCGGAGAGCCCCCCAGTGGCAGGTTCACCGGGAAAACCACCTTGGGTTTCCACGAGCGAGCTCGGATCGTTTCGCAGCCGGTATTTCCACACCGAGGGTTTCTGCAGAGGACTGCAGGGAGGGAAGGGCAAAGGGCATTATTTAATTAATCTCTTCCATTTCAGGTTCATTCAAAAACGCAAGCCAAAGCGTGGCAAAGAAAAGGGGGTTTTGTAAATTTTTTTTTCTTCCAGTGCAAGACTGTATTTTCATCAATCATGAGTTTAAGCCCCAGGGTCAAACTAAGAGTCAAAGTATGACCTTTATTGCCCACAAATCTACAATCGTCTCAAAAAAAATTAAAAAAAAAAAAAATCACAACATGGGTCTAAACTCCTTAGATCAGCATTTTATGGGCTGTGGGTGTGCAGGGATCGGGGAGAGATCAACCTTTGGGGTCCACACAAGGCAAGGGCATAAGCAGCGACTAAAGACAACAGAGACCTCCTTAAGGAGCCTACACCTCCAGTACAGACACTTTGAGATCCACAAATCAGAAAAAAGGAAAAAAAAAAAAAAAAAAAAAAGCAGAAAACTGCTGACCTTGCAGCCTGGGACGTTGTCCCAGGGAGGGCATCCCTCGGGCACGCCAAACCAGAGCCAGGGCAAGCCGCTCCATCCTCCGGTTTTGCCTAATTACACCAAACGAAGGCACGGCCCCAACCCAAACAGCGCAGGGCCAACATGCCCACGGCTCAGCCCCTCAGCTCCCCGCCCGGCTAAGAAGCCTTCACCTCCGTATCAGAACATTTAAATTAAAGATCAGGAGCGATCGGCCAAGATGTTGAAATTCAGGAGGAGCGGGTGTGATTCAGCGGGGGTTTGGCCGGCGCTGGCTATCGATGAAGCAAACCAAACGCCAAGAGTAGTAACTATCTCGCCTTGTATTATTATTTATGTATTCCTGATTATTATTATTATTATTAGAAAGGCGATCTGATGCAGCAGATAAGGAGCTGAGCCAGGAGTCAGGAGACCTGGTTTCTATTCCTGACCTGGAAGAATTGTGAAATTCCCTGCCCAACCCTTGCCTGCTTTCCCCTCCCAGCCCTGGGCCGAGCCCGTTCCCGGTGTTTGCAGCACCCACCACGACCCACGTTTGCGCGCCGCCCCCGCCACAGCCCCACAACAGGGACCTAGCTTGTGTTTTGGGCTTAAAACAACAACAAAAAAAACCCAAACCCATCGCCTGGATGCTGGCTTTGCATATCCAGCCCGGCAGGCTCCCGTAAAGCCTCTCACACTCCAAAATAAAAATCAAGGGAGAAGAAAAATGCAGCAAACCCCAGCGCAAATAACCCCCCCCCTCGCTGAGGTAAAAGCCTCCACCTGGCCCGACATCAAGGGGCACCCATGGCCCAACGACAGCATCAACAGAAAATATTTTCTAAAGCGTATTTAGAAGGATCAAACTGTTTCCCTTCAATTTGGGCACTGACAGCTTTACACGCGAAGGGAACAAACTCTGCCTTATAGTCCCCGCGGTGGTGCTGAGCGGGCAGGAAGGCAAAGCTGGAGCAAAAAGCCGGAGGCAGAGGTCCCAGGGCCGTGGTCCCATCGCACAGGGGGTCCCACAGAGCAAATAACACTCAGGGCAGAAGGAAACCCCTCCAGCCGACGGCACCAGAGCATTTCCCCACGCTCCTCGGATCACCAGAGATGCCAAAGGGAGCTCAAACCAGCCCGACGCCGAAAACCAACCCAGCGAGGGCGATTCACGGCCGCCTTTGCAAAGAGCCACCCTCAACCAAGAGGCACCGTTCTGCATCCAGGAGAGCCTACTCGATCAAAACAGAAAGACGTTTCTGCGGTTGAATCGTCTCTTTGGTTTTTTTCAAGCAACACAGCCCCCGGCCGTGGGCGCTGCCAGCCGGAGCCTTTGACAACCCAAAAGCGAAACCACCGCTAACCAAAAGGGGAAGGTGCTCTCCGAGCTCTCCTGGGCCCATGCGGACAGACAGGCAAATACATGAAAGGTGCGGAGGAAACCTGCAAGCATTTTTAGTTTAATAATCAGCAAGCCAGCCTCCGATGCCGGGCACAGCGCCTCTGGCTTTGAAACCCCCTTCCGAAATGCCCTGCGCACTGCCAGGTTTGAGCCCTTTGTGGTTTTGCTGTCAAAGCCCAAAGCGTTTTCCC